TTAATCTGTTTTTCCCTTCCTTCTTTTCTTTTTCCCCATTCCAACTGTTCTTTCCTTTTGAGCAGCTTCTTTTCTTTTCGCTATATCTATTGTACCTTTTGTATCTTATTTTTCTTTCAGTTTCTTACACTAGGGAGACGATGTGATGTTTCCATATGCAAGTCTGGTTTATTTCACTAATGAACATGGTCTCTAGTTTCATTCATTTACCTATTAAAATCTCAAATTTCTCTTTCTTTTTGACTTCAATATTTTTAAAGGTAAATTAAATCAAAAATTTGAAATGCTAATATATGTCATCATAATTATTTTTTCACATTTTAAAAATAATTTTTAAATATGTTTGAGTGTATATGCTTAAGATCAGATTGAGCACAAGTCATTTTCCCAAGAGTAATATACAATTCCATAAACAAAATTTCCTGGTGAGCAAAAATGAAAAATCTACAACTTTAAATGAATGTATTATTATTTACTAAATTCCTAAAAAAGCTTGAATTTATTTTGACATTGTACACTCCTTTGTATTGTTCTTCAACCTCCACTAATACCAACATTTATCCTTGCATCTTAGGATTTCAGAGTATTTATTTATTCATTTTGTATTTTAAGGAAGTGTCTACAGGCTGTTCAGAGTCTCAGTACTAGATCAGATTCCTAGTGATTCTTCTATTATAGCCTCCCAAATGCTGGGATTAAAACCACGCGCCATCATGTCCAGTCTCAGCTTGCCCGCCCCTGCACCTGTTTGCAGGTGCTTTGTTCTGCTGAGCTATTTGGCTGGCCCTTCAAAGAAGTTTTAAAAAACATATTTGATGTTCTTTATTTTATTTTTAATAATTAGCCCCTGTCATTATGGTAAAAATAGTATATCTCTTTGGATTAATAAAAATAATTTAATAATAATTATTTTTCAAAGTAAGTAAACAGTTATTACTTCCACAAAGAGAATAAAAATAGTCTCAGCTAAAGAATGCTCTTTCTTCTTCCTAGAGTGGATGACTTCCACCCAGGTAAACATGCAGTGTTTGACCTAATATACTACCACTTCCTGTTGCAGGATGGCTACTTAAAGGGAGTGATGCAATGGATACTGTGAAAGGAAAGAATCTGTTCAAAGGGAAGGAGTACCTGGGATAAGGAAAAGGGCAAAAGAAAGAAGGAAGGGAAAAAGTTATATTCATGCGTATATAGACAGGATAGCTTGGATAACTGTACTGCTGATTTCTGCTGCTCTATTGAAAGGAGTAGTCAATACTTAATTTTTTTCTTCTCTACAACTTTTTTAGAATCAAACTTACTTGCTTGTATCTGAGAATCAAGACAACTAATTTCAAGACGATATTCTGGAATATAACAACCATTATTGAATTCCTAATATTTTGTTTAGTGAAATTTTCTATCATTTTTAATTTTTTTCTACTATTTTTGTTCTCTTTGAAAAAGAAAAGAAAATGAAGGAGCAGTGTCTCTCCTGAGACCCCCAACATATCCTGAGGGGGGCACATTGAGCCTATTTAAACTTGAGTAAGCATTGAGCTCATTGAAACTAACAAATTGCCAAGAGTCGTTGTTCATAATACGTAAAACTGACTTACGCTAATATCTTTTCTTGGACAACTTTATCAATAATTCTTCTGAATTGTAACCAACAAATAAAGTGGCAGTTATCCCATCAGATTCCTGAATATGAGCACTGAGTCATGTATCATCCTGACATGTACCACTGACGAAGGAAATCCTGGAGACACACATGATTGATGGATATGAGACCGTGATGACCTTGGGCAATTTCACTAAGAGGACAGAAATCAAGACTCATCAGAGCAAGTTCTGGCCTTCTGTAAAAAGCATATATGCAAAAATAATAAGAAAAAAGGACCAACATGCTATTTAAATTAGAAAGGAATGGCAGTCCCCACACTGTTACATAACCTTTATTTCTCATTCCTGTATGTCTTTTTATATAAAACACAGGGATAAGTTCTAACCTTTTTCAGTTTAAAATAGTAAAAGCATGCAGCTTTCTTTAAGAGAATTCCTACCAGTTAGTGGTACAAAGCTATGTATGTTCAAGAGATACAACTATTGGCTTCTCTCTGCACACCATCATATTACCAAGGATTCTGCGCCAGCCCCAATCCGGGCATGCTGAGCTGGAAACTGAGTCCAGGCGTGGTAGTGAACACCTATAATCCCAGCACTAGGGAGGCTAACAGGAGAATCACTGAGTCTGAGCTGCATAGTGAAACCCTGTACCAAATACATAAAATGGAAAAAAATAGACATATTACAAAGGATTTGGAGCATTCACATATTGATTTTTCGTGCTCTTGTAGTTGAGAAAAGGTAATACAGTATGAATTTGGAATGTGGCTTTGTGTCTCATCACATTTCTCAGTGTTCAACATGGTACCCTGATTATGCTAGATACAAAGAAAAGAGTGGTGATGCATTATTCTCCTCTATAGCATCTGTTTCTTACCTTATGTGCTCATGTTATTATTGCAAACATAGTTCACAAAAAAAGAGGTGGCTGGAGTTGCAGTTTTGTGGTAGAGTGCTTATATGGCATTACAAGGTGTGATGATCAATCTCTAGGACTACAAGGACTGGGGAGAGATAGAGAAAAAATAAAATGGTATGTTGCCCATATCATTAAGTATAAATTTAAGCACATTTAGGACTAACTCAGATATCTTCTTGCACTTGTTGTTAAGGAATGTTGCCAAAATCTAAAGCAAAAACATAATATGGAACATACTATTTTAGGGTTGTGATATTTGCTTATTTCAAAAACTGGCAACCTCCTTAACTGACAACTCTGTAACTCTGGGCCAGAATACTTAAGTTATATGTAGTGTGTATCTATAAAAACAAATACAAGACCCAATCCAAGCCCAGGCCCAGTGAGTGTGTGGGAGAGCTTCCTGCTACCCTGCACCAGTGGGACATACTCGTCTCAGTCCAGGCACAACATGGGTGAGACCCTCTTCCACCCACTTGGGATGTCCCTCACCACTCCGCAGCACATCCCCTACCCCGCCTGCCCAGTAAGAATTTCTGCAATGTTCTGGGAACCCCCAGATCCAGTCCTAGCCCAGGCCAGGTGAGTATGTGGGAGAGATTCCGGCTACCCTGTGCTGGCAAGACCTCCTGGTCCCAGCCCAGGCGCAGCTTGAGTGATACCCTCTTGAGACACCCCCTATCATTGCTTAGCACCCTACAAAAACCATGCCCACAGAGTTGGAATTTCTGTCGTGTTCCGTAAACTCCCAGATCCAGTCTTAGTCCAGGCCTAGTGAGTGTGTGGGAGAGCTGCCTCTCCACCCTACTCCAACTTGTCCCCTCCAGACTCAGCTCAGGACTGGCATACAGGCCTGGGGTGAAACCCTGCAGCTGCAATCCCTGCAGAGAGTGTAGGGGACAGAACACCCAGCTATTCCAGGAGCAGAACATCTTGCCAGAGAGGCACAAAAGGTTCACCCCCAAGGGCAGCAGCAGGAAGAAGCTGAGCACAGCAGCCAGACCCAAGCCAGGAAAACCTGGATAAATCCAAACTTTGTAGATCTGCACATGAACTTCAGTAGGTGCTAAGGTTATAACTGCAACAAAGATCTACAACAAAGGTCAGAAGACAGTGCTACACAAAATGATGAGAAGGAACAAAATACAATCTCAGAACCCAAGGAAACCCATAACAAGTGCAGAGGACAGTGTAACAGAACAAATTGGGAACCACACAGCTGAAAGCAATGAATCAATGGCTTCTGAAATAAAGAAACAGCTGCACAAAGGTATAGAGGAACTCAGATTGAAAATAAAAAAAGAAATCCCTGAATTAATAATATCTGCAGTAAAGAATCAAATGCAGAAACATATGGAGGAAACCTAATGCCCACCCAGAACAAATGCAGAGGACACTAGCTCAGCTCAAATGTATGAATTAATAGCATCCATAGTAAACAAGCAACAGCCGAAGGATACAGAGGAACTCAGAGTGCAATTCTTTTCTGAAATAAAAAAAGAATTGTCAGAACTCATAGCATCTGAAGTAAAGAATCAACTACAGAAACATAGGGAGGAAACCCAATCTGAAAAAAACAGCAGTGAAAGAATTTATAACTGCTTCTGAAGAAGACATGGATTAAAAAAATAGAGGAGATTAGGAAAATGACTGATTACTTGAA